TGTATAAATAATGTTATATGTATACTATGGATGTACGTTTCCCATTCTGAGCTCACCAACAATAGTACGTATCATTCATTTTTTTTTTTTTTTTTTGGCGCTTTCGTTTTGCGAAAAAGCTACGTATATTTATGTGTTTTCATCTTTCCTCTCCCTTTTTTGCAAGTAATTGTTGTTTATAATTTTTCGTATCATCTGTGTTACCATTATTTTATATACTGTCATCCCACGTGTCACATCCTGCTTGCCATTTTGCTCCTGCCCTTTTTTGTGTTTTTTTTTTTTTTTTTTTTTTTTTTTTTTTTTTTTTTTTTTTTTACCTGCTTGGAGCTTCGCCTTAGCGACTGCATATTTTTCTTTTATAATTGTTCCCTTTTTCCATGGCGTATTTTTTACAAAGCCATTTTTATATATATGTATAAATAATGTTATATGTATACTATGGATGTACGTTTCCCATTCTGAGCTCACCAACAATAGTACGTATCATTCATTTTTTTTTTTTTTTTTTGGCGCTTTCGTTTTGCGAAAAAGCTACGTATATTTATGTGTTTTCATCTTTCCTCTCCCTTTTTTGCAAGTAATTGTTGTTTATAATTTTTCGTATCATCTGTGTTACCATTATTTTATATACTGTCATCCCACCACGTGTCACATCCTGCTTGCCATTTTGCTCCTGCCCTTTTTTGTGTATTTTTTTTTTTTTTTTTTTTTTTTACACGAGCAAGGGTACACCACGTCAGAAGTGCCCCCAACATGCATATGAACGTTTGCCACATTACATTGTCCTCCATTGCAAGCCACTTTTTCATTTCTCGTTTAAGTTATTCATTTCATTTGTCGAGTGTATATATTTGTTTACTCCTCCGCTGTAGCAGCTTTTGGTCTTGCTTTCACAGAAATTGACTTTGAGATTTTAATGCGCCCATTTACAACGCGGGTGTATTTTTCCTTTCTGATGTTCCTCCGCTTGTGTGTGCCCTTGTCCTTTTTTGGCTGAGAAAAAATTGAGTGGCCCAACTTTTTTGTTCCACATCCATCAACGGTTTAAAGTTTGTTCATGTGGGGAAGAAGCAAGCCAACCCACAGTAAGAAGCCCATAGGAAGAAGTCCAACAGGAACAGAAGCCACCCACCCCCCCTTTTTTTTTTTGACCCAATTGACAAACCACAGAGGAGACAAATTATGAAATTATAAAGGCAGATTTGTTAAAACATGGAACATAAGGAAATGGAGAATGAGAATAACAACAAAGGTGAGCGTTTGTGGAGTATGGCATATCGGCACGGTA